CTAGAGGTGACGTGGATCACCATACATACACACTAAACTGAACTTCTTCTGGAGTTGCTTATGTACACACAAAACAATGAAGAAGTGATGACTAGTAGCTAAGACATCTAACTCTACATCCTGCTTGGAAAGGAGCCATAGACCTCCAGATTGACCCTAAGCTGGAACAATATGGACAATGTCAACATTGAAACAATTCTTTAAGGGCGATTCAGCTATTTTTGATGTTTTAGTTTCGGAAATAAAGATTATTTGCGCATTAGTAGAGATGATTAGTCAGACTAGATGAAGCATTTTAGAACTGCTAAGGGTCTCCACCTGACCCTTAGCAGTTCCACGCCAGGAGACTCATGTCGTCCGTGGCACCTTAGAGGAAATTTTGAAAATTTTAATGGCAATGAAGGAAGTAAGGGTCCCACCAAACCCTTGGCAGTTCCACGCCAGGAGACTCATGGCGTTCGTGGCACCTTAGAGGAAATTTTGAAAATTTTTATGGCAATAAAGGAAGTGCTATAATTTTTAGTGGCAGTGAACGAGTTCTCTCGACCATTTTTGCCACGGCATGCTCGTATGCGAGATTGAGGGAGAGTGAGCCGCTGCTGCCTTTTCGTGTGTGGACTGTGGAGTAGAGGGCAAGCAGGCGCGCTGCGTCCCTATCCCTTGCTTGCCTGCCGCTAGTTGGCAGAATAGAAAAGAGTGCGGAGGGTATTTGATACCAATCCGCTTAAAGTTTTGTCCTTGCTTTACTTAAAACAGTTAATTCATGTTGTAGTATGGGCTAGTCTACCCATCCTCCGTAACTGGGGTGCGACTAAACCCCGCAATCTCACATCAATAAGCACATAGACCGCCGTATATAGGCCTAAATCAAACTCCAAGGATCTGATGCCTCGTTGGCCCAACACACCGCAACGAAACAAGAGATGACCAGGGATGTTCCCTCTTGGAACACGTGACCATGTGTTCAGTGCCGGCAAATGTGCCATGTTGTGCACCCCATGTCCGCACCCCTACCCAATATGTGACCACGTCTATGAAGGTTAACTCTCCAAACGGCTTAGGTCCACTTCACATGTTGAGTAAACCACAAACTACTACCAGTACCAGGCCAATTACACTTTCATCATCTCTTCATGTAAAAAGGTTAACCCGAGATTAGCAGTATGGACTCTAGGATCCTTATAACCATTAACAACTAAGGTAGGACTTGGTCAATATATACAAACCAGAACAAGTCATAAGAAATTTATTCTATATTGCACTATAACCTAAGTGCAACTCAAGATCTAATGGTTAAATCCAATCAAATTGAAAAGCTAACATACATGTTGGGTGATTTAGATGTACTGTTTTATTCAAAGCATTTTCCATTTATATTTCACATCTCAACACAACATGCAAGCCAAGTTGTTTCCCCCCTTTCCTCTAGACTTAGAGATACCGAGTTTGATTATAATGCCGCCACGGTACCTGCAAGTGTTGAGACTTTGTGGTAGTTGGCTATTAGCTAATTAATAGAATAGGCCTTTGGTCAAAATTTTAAAGACTTATCTTGCCAAGTTTTACTGCTTTCAAAGCTTTTTTAGGAATTGGTAATGAGCTATTTATCATGGATTCTAGAAAATTAACAACTCCCAATGGTTTTCTATAAAAATCATGAAATAGTAAGCTTAAGTGTCGTAATATTTATCTCTCCCAAAAAAGAATCATATTTCTCCCTAATGGAGAATATTTTCATGATTCAAAATCAGTGTTCTAAATAGCCCCCTATAGCTTTTCGTAAGGTCTATCGCTACAATATTATTGATTGTTCTGCTATTGCTGCTAATGACCCTATAGCTCCACTAAAAGTTGCTATTTGGCTGAGCCACAAAATATATTTAGCACCGCTAATATTAACCAAGACATATATTCATTCCTTACTCTAGATGACTATAATCTATGCCTCTTTGTTGTATTCATTAATTGATAATAAATGGTGTAATGAATTATTGAACAAATTTTAAACTGTTTGATTTTTGAATCTTGAATGAATATGAAAGTTAATTATAGCCGTGAGTATATTAATTGCTTTAATAATGAATGTTAAGTAATGGACCTAGAAACATGTTCCTGGAGCTTTGTACATGTATTTGAGTATTTATGTTCATAAAATTTCCTTAACGATATGTTTTCCTCATAATTAATTAAGAAATTTCATGTTTTTAACAAAAATGTAAAATGAAATAACTTGTGCTATAGCATGTTATAATTTCTAGAGGGTGGTAACATTAAATGTCATAGTCCGTGATTTTAAACCTTATTGCAAGTCCATCCGAGCCATTGAGGTAGTAACTGTCTCTAGCAGCTGGCAGTGCATCTCACATCAGCGTCAAAGGCAACTTCCAAGCAGTTTCCATGAAAGATCAGATGAGCTCACGACTTCAAGAGCGTCTGCATCAGACCACAAGTGCCAGTTGAAAATGTAGCACCATTGCGCCAAGATTTATTATCTGTAGTTGCAGTTTAAAATGTAGATGTTTAATCTGTTAAAATTGATGAAGAATCGATATGTATCGATCAGTTGGCAAGTAGTAGTACATAAGCTGATTATATTATATTATATTATAAGCGTCGTAAAAATTTGTTTGCAGGACAAACAAGCTCACTTGCATCCTTAGTCCTCATGAAGCAGAAGCAGTGCGGTGGTGGCAACAACGGGCCAACGGCCAGGTCTAAAATTAGAACTTAAATTCGTGATACTATTTGGAAGATTAGAATTCGTTTAGGATCTGCTTGGATCTTTTGTTGGTTACCATGTCCATGTTAGCTAGCCTAGAAATAAGCTGGTATTAGGAAGGTGTTCTGGATCTACAGCAAGCTTTGTCTTGGGGCACGTATTTTCTAGCATTTTGTTCTTAAGCTTGAGCGAGCCAAACTGACGACCCTCTGCCCATCGAAGGGTTAACTTTGTCTAGTGAGATGAGGCAAAGCTAGGCTAGCAAGATAACCAACATGGTGTGATGACGACGAGCAGGGGCAGGGGTAGCGACGACTGACGGCCGGCATGACCATCTCCTCCTGGCTCCCACGTCCATGACTTGCTCTAAGAAATGCCTAAGCCGGAAGTTGCTAACCAACATGCCATGTTATCGCTGAATACACACTTAGACATGTCAGGTCAGATTTAAGGGTCAAATAAGTACATAACCTTCTATTAACTACTTAAAAAGTTTAAGGACCCAAAAAATACATTGTGAAAGTTATAATGGACCTAAATGACAACTCAAAATCAAATGTATCTACAACTGCAAAGCTCAGTTTAGTTTAAGGATAATGGAAGCTAGTGTCATCTAGCTGTAGCTTTGAGACCCTGGATCTATAGTTTGTAGATTAAATTAAGCGGTTTGAATATTTATATTTGGTTCAAACTATAAATGAAATGATTTATCTAGATACTCTCGACGTACCACGAGTTTCGGATTCAAATATTTTTGAGCAACAAACATCTACCTCTAGGAATCCATATATATATATATATATATATATATATATATATATATATATATATATATATATATATATATATATATATATATATATATACCAAAAAGAACACACATATGAACTTTAATTAGCATTGTCATGTATCCCGTATCTGATCATCATGAATGAATGTTAGTATAGATTTATTACAATATATTGTTGCTTAGGCCCATTTGATACTCTAAATTATAAAATGTTTTATCTTTTAAAGATATATAGTTTTTTAGGGGAAAAAGTCCAAACAAATAAACCCTAAAGAATTTATAGGGCTAAGTGTGTGTTAAATAAGACATGCATTTAGTAAATGCATCAATCTCAAAAACGGTAATGCTAAGGAGCGGCCGTCGAGCGGGCCGAACGTCGCCTTCCTGGGCCTGCGCGCTATCGTGTACTAGCCCAACAAGCCTGCCTCTTTATACGCTTCCCCCATCTCTCTCCGAAAGATATCTCCGGACTTGCTCGCCCATCGCGTACTTTACTGCATGTCGTGCGGCCGTCCGCCTGGCCTACTTTGCATCGCCGCCGCAACCATCTCCCCGTGCATGCCCCCATCTTGCGTCGCGCTGCCCCACTCCGCCTTGCCGTCGCGGCCATCCCTCACCGAGCTGCCCCATTCCGCGCTCGCCTGTCACAGGCACGTCGTGCACCGGGCTACCACCACCCCGGCTCCACCAGGAGAAGGTCGTCACCGTCTAGGACATCGTCTCCCGCGATTGGCCGAAGACACCACGATAGGAAGAAGCAAATGTTGCAAGCGTATGTTTTAAGTGTTTCAGATGTTTCAGAGGTATGTTGCAGGTGTTTCATATGGATGTTGCAAAATTAGATCCGGATGTTGCACATGTTGTAATGGCTATACACGTATGTTGCAAGCATTTGCTCGAAATGTTTCATCTGTTTCAAATGTATGTTGCATATGTTTCACACGTATATTACAAGCATATGTTCCAAATATTTTATCTGTTTGATATGTATGTTGCAGTAAGTGTTTTCATGTTTGAAACGTTGGATGGGACGGCCAGAATAGGCGCGGGAAGCGGACGCGGACACGGACAGTCCCCGTGTGTGCGATATGGAGCGGGGCACAGCCAGTCCCCGGTTACGCGCGGGAAGCGGCGGCCCCTGTGTGCGAGTGGGCGGCGCAGGGCAAGGCGTCATGAGGTGTGGGAAATGAGAAGGCATGTGACATAGGGTGTAGGCAAAGACGCCCATCCGGACGTCTAGGTGCTAGCATCCCCGATCTGAAAATCTGCGGTTGTAATATCGGATGGATTGATCTTCATGGATTAATTTAATCTATCTATTACCACATAAAAAGTGTGAGGGGTTTCCGTCCACCACATAACTTCGTGTACGCGCCGGGCCCCCAGACTCGGTGCATGCCCACATGCAACCCGGATCGGTCTCAAAAACAAACAAAAAACAAACGCTTTGGCCGCCCCCCAGATACGGTGCATTGCCCACATGCGGATCGCTCACAGATTGCACCGGAGACCAAGGCATCTCTTGGCCCGCGACTCGCGGCGCATGAGCCCGCCGTTCCCGCGCTTCTCTACCACGCCACCGCCGGTTCTGATCGCCTGGAGGCGACCGAAGTGCGTGCTTCTCCCCTCGTACGCCACCGCATCCGGGTTCTCCTGAAACGGCAGTGGAAATCAAGGTCATGCATTAATCAGGAGAAGATCATCCGGGTGATACGCCCGCGATCAACTCAGCAGCGATCCGCACGAAACAGCACGTACCGCTTCCACTCGGCCTCCTTGGCGACGACGACCCGGCGGTGCGTCGTAGGTGAACCGCGGGTGGTCCTTGATCCGGCTGACGGCATCGAACTCGCGCCGGAGCTCGGCCAGCCGCCGCTGCAGGTCCTCGACGGGGAACGCGGACCCGGTGGCTGCGTTGAGCTCGGTGCGGATGGCCGATGACCAGTCGTCCGCGGTGAGATCGCCCACGCCGGCGCCGCCGCGCATGCCGCGTAGCAGCAACAAGTCCAGGAACTTTGCGTCGTGCTGGGCCGTCCACACGTCAACGTGCAGCCGCGACAGGATCTTGCACAGCGACCGCCGCGACACCGGCGGCCTCGTGGTCTTGACGGCCTCCTCGCCGCCGCCGCCGCCCTCTTCGAAGCGCGTCATCAGCTGCTGGTCAATCATCAGTAGTTGGCTCACGGTCGTGACTGGTTGCTCTGGCCGCGTTTGCACGCTACGCATCTCCTGCCTTCCATGTCGATGGAATGGTCAGTTGGTCCCAAACTAATGGAAACTAATGGACGATAAGTCTGAGAGCAGCGAGCGAGCACGTACTGCGAGGCGTCGTCGTCGGCGCGGAGTTGGAGGCTGAGGAAGACGACGGAGCCTTGGCGCACGCCGTAGTGCGCGACTACGGTGAGGCCGTCGCCGGCGAAGAAGAGCCGCTGGGCGCCGACGGTGACGCCCTCGCGGGCCATGACCATGGCCTCGAGCTGCGCCATCGTGGCGGTGCCATCGACGTCCAGCGCCACCCGGTCCCCGCGGAGCGTCCGCACCATGATCCTCGTCGTCGTGGCCACAGGAGGAGCCGGCTCGCCGCAAAAGGACAAAAGGTAAAAAGCGTGTTAATCCTGCACACATGACGATTTCAGATAAATCATCCTTACACAGTTTGGACACAGATTGGATGATTTCAAGAGCTCTACAGATAAATAACTAAAGAGACCAAAAAAAAGATGGATTTTAGGTTCCCAATGCAAAATTATTTATTAGCTTTTTATTATTTTCTAAAAATGATCATATCCGTCGCCGTACGCGTGGACAAAAATACGTATCACCCGTGCAACACACGGACATAAATCTAGTACAGGGAAAAAAAAATAGGGAAGAAGGCTGTGGTGCCAGCGTGGGCCAATGGGCAATGGGAAATAAAGCCGGCCTAGTATTGCCGAATTGGCGCCCACCGGCCCACGCCTCGCAGCCCTACCTATGTGTAACGGACCCACGGGCTACCGGCTACGGCCGGTCCGAAAGCGTGGCCGATCGATCGCCTGACCCTCATCGCTGGCACTGGGCGCTTCGACTGCTTTTTCTTGGAATCAATTTACGAAGAATGTAATATGCTTTGGTAGGAGTTTTCTTTAATTTTCATTGAGCATTGTAATAGAGATATGCATAGAGTAGAGCATAATTTAGCAACTTTAGCTATTTAGTCAAAACATACTTGTATTTGGATCGATGAACACCCTAGCTTCGTACTTGAAGCCTGGTGAATGATGTAACACTATTTTCGAATAAATAAAGTGCGCCAGTTGGCTTCTAAAAAACAGGTTCGTGGAAACGGATTCAGACATGTTTGCTTGAAACCGTCGAAAACAAGTGCTAGGCAAGTGCTCCTAGGCGCAAACTTTCTCTGCTTGGGTCAGGATTGCTGCCTAGCAAGCAGCATTCAAACAAATCAAACACGTCTTCACAAGGTGTGATTAGACTGTCTCTAACGGCAAGTACGCAAACGCGAGACCTATTTCATGATTTGAATCCCGTACAGAGAAAGTGTCATGGACCCAAAACATTCCTTCTCCAACAACGAAACCAAATCCGGTGCCGCTTGCTCCTCCATCTTCGTCTTCCCCGCGGCCGGCCACCGAGCTGCGAGCTCCGGCGCGAGATCCGGCGAGGCGCGCGGCCCCTTCGCGTGGACGAGCCCCTCCACTGAAGAACAGCGATGCTGCAAAGAAAGAACAGAAAAGACAACGCACGAACCGAAGAACAAACAGAGAACAGTGGACACAAAATCAACCAAAAATCGATCAAATCACAATGATTCATTCCCGAACTTTGCACAGGCCATCACAAGGAAGTTGTCGAGCTACTCCTAGAAAATCATGGCTCAAACCAACCTCAATCTCTGAAAAAAACAGATCATGGCCAAGAACACGAAAAAGTCCCCCAAAAACGAAATTCAAAACTCAAGCCGAATTCGTGAGGGATTTGGAGGGGGATCATATCAAAGATGCTCCCTAAGGTCCTAGCAACATTTCCCCTCAACCAATTCCATGAGATTCGGGCTCAAACACGAAGAACAAAAAATCCCGTAAAAAGGGCTCCGAAAATAGGAAAAGGAAAAACGCACGGGAATCAAAGATTTAGCACGAAATTAGAGAACAAGCACAGCTAAATTACGAAGGACGAGGCCATCCTGCACACCGAGCCCTGATAAGCAAGCAGCCGTAAGTGCAAAGAATGGCCGTCGTGCTCATTCATCCGAACTTCACTGCTAGTAGTACTCCTGCTAATGCTTGGCGAGCGCGCTAGCCGTGGGCCGCGGGCCACACCGTCGCGTCGGGGGCAAGCGAAGCGTCAGGGGCCACGCCGCCGCCGGGCAAAGGCGAAAGTCGCGTCTTCTTTGGTCGCGCTTGCCGCCACGCCACACTCCGTCGCGGGCAGCGCCCACCGCTTCTTCTTCTTCTTTGCGTCGCGCGCCGCCGCTTTGCCTACCACCGAGAGAGAGATGAACTCACGTGGCTGCAGGGAGGGGGCGCCGCGCGAGCCGCCTTCGTCCCCACCGCGAGCGGCACTTTGACATCCGGCTCCAGAGATTTGTGTCGTCTCTCCGTCGAGACGCTTATTTGCGTTTTGGTTCGGCTCGTACGCAAAATGCGTTGTCTATTTGGGTCTGCTGTTGGAGCGTGTTTTCGGTACCTAAAAATACTGTGAAGGACCTATTTTAAGTTTGGGTTGTGTCGTTGGAGATAGTCTACTTGTCTTCCATGTTGAGCCTGACCTAGTATATATCATAGGCCTGGCCTAGTCTATGCGAGACAATTTTGTTTGGATAATAGCATCTGCATGTCCTGGCTACACTGAGCCAATGTTTGGTTGCCTGGATGTACAGAAAACGTATACACGCTCAATAGCCTTTTGTATCTGACTGGACTGGCTGCGGAGAAACGGAGGAAGTTCCCGTATCTAGAGAGCCAAGCGGCGCCCGTCGACTAGTAGGTCCGAACGCTAGTCCAGACAGCATATCGCTCGAAGGTCATATCCGTCCAACCTGATTGCGGTTAAAGCGGGCATCCAGTCACGTCCAATATTTATCTATGTGTATACATATAATATCCGCGAGTTATAATAATTCTTCTAAATGTATACAATATCTCTTTTGTCGAACACATAAAAACTATCCTCACCGAAATTTTAATTTAAAGGCTAACGACCCCCACGCGCTGACCCGCCCGGCCGCCGGCCCATTCAGAGCATTAAACGTCAAGTGCAAGTGTGCAACTGTATTGTAGGGTTAACCGATAAACATGCATATACACCACAATCCATAAAATAAAACGGCAACGCTCCACCCACTCTCTGTGCCATCCGTGTATACATGTCCGTGGGCTAGCCCCGGACGTCTTGGCACTAGCAAGTTCGAAAATAAAAAGCCTATATACATGTCCGTGGGCTAGCCCATTTAAATCCGCATAGTAGCATATGCTTGCAGATCGCAGGATTGCCGCGGCTTCCGGTCCAGCGGGCCGGTTGCGATCGAAGCGGGACTGCCTGCCTGCCAATGGTGGGCTGCACGAACGCCCGAAGCAACGTGAGGAGGGAGGCTTGCATTATCTTGGTTGGAATTGGAATTGGGCCGACGTCAGCGGGGGCGAGCGTCTCAGTCAGATGGGCCAAGGTGGCCCCGTCGTGTACTCGCGCGCAGGCCGCGCAGCACCAGCGACGTCGTCGTCCAGGCCGTATCCGAGCCGGTGGAGCCCGCGCGCGTCCGGGCGGCTGATCTGGTGACCCCGAGCCCGTGCGCGCAGCCGAGGCCGCCGTGCCGACGTGCCCGTGCAGCCACCGACGACAAATACAACGAGCCGATCGCGGCGAGATCGCCGTACCAGAGGCCCAAAGCCCCGCCGCGCTATAGTACGTGGCCACGTACGCGCCCCTGGAATTAAAACCCCGGCGCCTTGATTGCCATCGCCAACGACCTGCCGGCCGGTCCCAACGGACGCCCGGAGCCAAACCCATGGATTCATCATATCCTCATGTATGTACTCCCATATCCTACCTGCAGCAGCGCGACCTGTGCAAGTGTGCAACGCATGCCTGGGCTCGCGATCCGCGGGCACATGCGCGGCCGATCGTACGCGCGGCACGGCCAATCGGGGCCGGGCCCCGTGTGCCCGCCGACATGGCCGGGATCGCATCAAATCGCCAGCGAACCGCACCCCCCGGCCCCGACTGATGGTACAAGTACAGAGAAGCGCGTGCCTGCCGTGCGTGCGTGCGTATTTTGCACGAAACGACAAGGCGACAGCGGCATTGATTAGGGAGCCGTGCGAGCTAGGTGTGTTTGGTTGTAGATCGAATATTTAGACATTAATAAAGAGTATTAAATATAGATTAATTACAAAACTCATTATATAAATTGGAGCTAATTTACAAGACGATTTTTAAGTCTAATTAATCTATTATTAGCATATGTTTACTGTAGCACAACGTTGTTAAATCATGAACTAATTAGGCTTAAAAGATTCGTCTCGTAAATTAGTCACAAGTTAGGTAATTAGTTTTGTAATTAGTCTATATTTAGTATTATATAAACGTTCGATTTCCCAAACAAGGCCTTAAACGCCCGCTCTATCTACTCATATATATATATATATATATATATATATATATATATATAGACACACACACTGGCATTAGCAGTCGGTGAGAAACAGGCAAGCAGCGCGAGACGACATCCTAGCAAGCTCGAGGAGCACGCACAGCCGTTGTCTGGAGCCACGGCGAGGCTGGGAGACCGTGCCCGGCGGCCAGCGGAGCCGCCGCGCGGACCAGGCGGCGGCGGGGCGCCCAGGGTCGCTGGGACGACGCGCGTCATGGCGTGGTGGCGCGCGCGGGTCGTCGCGCCGGCGCGGCGCGCCTGGCTCGCCGTCGTCGCCGCGCGCGTGCGCCGCCGCAAGGGCCGCACTGGTAAGCAGCCTTTTCCGCTCGCGCTCGGCAACCACCACCACCTCTAATTCTCGGCTGATTCAGTTGGCTCGCCGGACGGTAGCGCTTCTTGGGCGCGCATTCGTCGTCCGATCTGAACCGATCCAGCGTGCAAAGGAGCAGGAGCAGCTGGCGATTCAGTTGGCTCGCCTTGTGTAGTTATAATAACTAGTTCGCTGAAGTTAGTTCTATATATGACAGTCTTGATTTTTGAAGCACAGGAATTTCCAATGTTGCATAAACTCCTAGTTCATGGTATGATCTAGCTAGCTAGCTGCTCAGCATTTCGATTCTCGCAAGAATCTGATGAACACCAAACAGTGTCAACAGAAGTGCCATACAGCAGTCACCATAGAGGAAACAGGGGCGGACACTACTACGCCATCTGTACTCCTAGGCCCTTTGCTTTCAACGGTTTGTTTGGATACACATGGGGCAGCTTTTGCCTTGGGGACCTGGCTTAGCATTTGGTTTGTACTGCCATATGGCATTCTCGTTTTTTAATCTTTTTTTGTCCACATCCTTTTATATAGACTTAGCATAAAAGAGGCATATGGCTTTCTCTTGTACCGCCGCCCGTAGGAACAAAAGTTTTTTTTATATAGAAAAAAAAAGATCTTGCTTCATCCACTAATGTCTTATAAAACTTAAAAAAAGATCTTGCTTCATCCACGAATACTTGTCACATGCCTTTTTAACTTTTAACACGGTTAGTTCAGGGATATCTCTTCAATGTTCAATCACATCTCCAAAACTCTGATCCCCACGAACAGTGACACCATCGTGTGGTTTGCAGACAGATTGTATCACTAACAATTCCTCTTGGCACACGCTGGCTGCAATGCAGAGGCAGAGCGCGCAGGAATCGTGGACCTCCACAGGGACGTGGAGACCTGCGGGTACCACGACGTCCAGGTGATGTGGGACATGCTGGGCCTGGACACCGGGCCGCCCAGCAGCCCGCCGGAGCGCCGGAAGCGGTCGCCGCTCTGGACCTGGACGCCGTCGTTCTTGCACTTCGGATCGTCGCGCCGCACCGGCACGGGCACGGCCGCCGCGCGGTGAGGCGCGCGCGCGCTCGCCGGGGCGGCACCGACGCACCACCGTGCGCGAAAGATGATGACTAGGCAGTGTCTGTGTCTGTGTGTGTGTCGGTGAAAAGCTCCACTGCTGCGACCTGTGGGGGCCTCTGGGGCAAACTATCAGTTTAATTTGACTAGGAAATGGTGGTGGTGTGTGCGCTATGCACTACGTGCACGGTGCACCTTTACTGCGCATTGTAGAGAGAAAAGAAAACGTACATAAAAAAATCAGCTCTAATTTCCCATGTTTATTTTGCTTTGTGTTCTGTCCTTCTGTGGCATGATGACTGGTCGAGGGAGGCACAGACATGGCGACATGTCAGCAGAGTGCCAATGGAGGAGCATTCTTTTCAGAACTGGACCTGACCTGACTGCAAAAAAAGTTTGATGTGAGGCAGAACTCTGTGCCAACACGATCCCCTAGTCTGTAGTGATCTACTAGTCTTTCGGCAACACAGTAACGTGATGCGTGAGTAACAGCAACAAACATGATTGGGAAGTGTCATGCATGACAATTCAAAAGAAATCTATCGTGTCATCTTATGATTTTGGTTTGGCACGTACACTACGAACTTGGGCTCCTTATGATATTACCACAAATATACTTGTCTTTGCAACCTAATTAATGCTGCCAGAGAGAGAACAAAGCATGCCACGTTAGAATCAGAGCATCGAAAAAAAAGTTGACGCAAAGTCATTCAAAAGCTTACAAAAAATGGCGCTGAAGCTCAGGCTATGAAGAAAAGAAATCTTGACCAACTATGGGATGTTCTAAAAACTAAAAACAGTACGTATTGGATAATTTATGCTGAACAATTTTTTCAAAACATTCTATAAGTCTCAAATCCTAAAAGCAATAATCACAGAAAAACCGAAGCTTTGGTAATTCCACATGAATCTTTGAAATTCCTCAGATCCTTGAATTGGCATATATTTCTATCTACAACTAAAAAGCAGCGATAGTTTTCGTGCACCCGGCTAATCACCCCATGTCCTGCTATCCATGACCCTCCCGGCAAATCACCGCGTGCCCTGCTATCCACTTAAAAAAACACGCCCACAACGTGCCTAGCAAAACAGAAACAACACCGCGCAGCCCCTTCTTTCCAAAAAAAAAAGCCGCTCACAAGCTTTCTAAGAAAAACCATGTCTTGCAAAAAAAGGAAACAAACAATCAGTGAATACTCGCCAACAAACCGCGTGCCTGCGAACGGCCATCCAAAAAAACAGCGCCCTGAAAAAAATCTCACCAGAAAAAAAAGAAACAATCAATCAAGAAACACACCCAGCAACCGGCGCCCAGAACGTTTCCGAGAAAAAGGAATCAAACAATCAGCGCGCCGGTCCAAGCGATCGAATTAGTGCCTCCCGCGACCCCAGCTAAAATAAAACTGCCGTCGCCCTGACCACTTGCCGTCGCCGCGAAGTCTGGTGCCGTCCCCGTCGCACCGCGACGTCACCCGCGATCTGCTACCCCAATCTTCCAACGCCCTGTGGCCACTTGACATCAACAGATCGCCCCGTGGCCACTTGATGTCTGCAGTGATCTGCTACTCCAAGCCGCCGACGCCCATCCGTCGCAACGGCCACCTGACATCGGCGGTAATCTGCTTCTCCTTCCCTAGCCGCCTCCCTCGTGATCTGCTTCCTGGTCACACAACGCGTGCCGTCGCGGTGGCCACCCGACATCGACGGCAATCTGCCTCTCCTGCACTCGCCGTCTCCCTCACGATTCTCTCCTTGGTCACACTGTACACAGGGCACGACAAAGTCACGGGTAAGTGATGCATAAAAAATTGCCCTAATCCTGTTTATTATAGTCTATAGTGATTGCAGTTCTAATGCACGATTTTGCCCTAATTATGAACTGGTTTTACCTTTATATATGAACTGCAATTTTTGCCCTAAAAATATGATGTTGCTGGGTTTTGTTTAAGAAAAAAAATCATTTCGTTCCGTAACATATCTTCCAGATTGACCGGAAAAGGATGATGTAAATGGCCTTCCTGTTGAATCTCTAAGGTTTGAGGTGGCCCCACTAATGTTTAACTGCAAAAGTGATGAAAATGAGTTCACCCGTCAGAATATATAACTGACACTTTAATATGCATTTGTACATACAAGGATGCAAGAGGTAGAATAGCTTGAACAACAATGGTATTACATTAATCAATCGAGCATCAACTATCAAATAAATAAGAGAAAACAAGGCATGTTTGCTTTCTGTTCAGCAACATTTTTATGTATTTTTAATGTGACAGAGAACTAAACAGATAACAAACAAAAAAAATTAGCATGTCTAGAAAAGGAGAGGCTATAGGAGCCGCCACTCATAAGTGATATCATACAACTGATCTAAGAAACTAGACTATGATTGTTTACTGAATAGAAAAAAGATGAAATGCATAACCATATTAATTTAGTAAGGGTGATGACGTAACAACTAAAGCTGCTGCAAAAGCACATGTTAGTGGTGCGATGAAGAAACTATCAGAGAAAAAACATCTGACAAAGGAGCCACCAACAGAGGAACAAGATGTACCTGTTACTTCCAGTGAGGAGTGGTTGCAGGAACGCCATAAGGAAATCCATGTATAGGATTAGTAGGGTGAAACCGAAGGTAGCAGTTTTCAATATTGATGTCTCATGTATAAATGCAAGCCTATGGAAAAATAGAAAATCATTACTAGGATTAGCATATGGTACATATAATACTCATTTCATGGTATCTTTCAGGTTGAGTTCACAGTACATATAATCCTCATTTCATAGTATCTTTCTCCATACATGGGTCCTGTTGGAATTAGTTGCACAGACTTTATTCCCGTTGAAGTGTTGGGATGATGACCAAAACAACAATAAAAGCAAATGAAATGGACGGTGTGCTAACCTTAAATTCCAAACTGCAAAAAATAGCACACCAGGCTATTGAATGTTCTTAATCATTTGTGCGGTCACATATACAAATCTGTGTTTTTTACCTATTTGGTAGTGGGAGGTAAAAGAAATAATTTTCTTTGTTGTCAACAATACATATTGAAATCCAACTGAAGAAGCTTCATTCTGACACTTAAGGATAAAACTGAAGATATGTATAGGCTCGACACCGAGCTCTCGAATCTCTCCAGACAAGAATTAGCTAAAGATTAAAAAAAATCAACTGCACATGTACCACACAAGCTGACTGTAACACCTCTGGTGTTACGAGCTTGCTTAGCATCGAGGTTTAGACCTAAGAGGATTCATCGAAACGATTTTCTCGGATTTTTTATTTAAAACATACTTGAACCAATAAGCGAATCCTGTGTGACTCAGTTTTGTGGACTCAAATAAACGCCCAAGTTAAATTACTTAGTGCGTAAAAGTATTTAAAATATTCGATAATAATTCTAGCAAGTAAATGACGAATGGCTTGTTGGGTTGGATTGAGTATGAAAGCAATTTTTATAAACCAAATAAAATATCGCTTGTAATTCATATTTAGATAAAAGTTTGAAGTACAAGTTTAGGAGATAAAGTGCTATTTTCAGTGTTCGAATTCCAACAAAATTTTCTAAATCTTAGTTTCGTGTTTTGTTACGATTTGTTGCATCAAAGCGTGTACTTGAGCCTTCGTCGCATTAGTAAGTTGTTTTCGGTTCGCTTTTTAAGACGTGCGTGACGTCGTTCCGCCTAGCCCGGCTGCTGCCACTGCCTCGTTCTGCGCTGTGCTCCTGCCGTCTCGCGTCACGTCCTAGTCCCTGCACCGTTGCGACGCTGTCGGCCGCCCAATGCCATTGCTGCGCACGCACGATCTCCCTGGCCACGAGTTACGCAGCGCCAGCACGTGTGCCACCACTGTCGCTCAACCGCGGTCTGCCTCTGTTGTCCCGTCGCGCTATTGTCCTAGCCGTTTGAATACGGTGGTGCGTTTCCCCTGCTCAGAATCAATCATCGGAGTTATTCGCGTCGCGCCGCGTTGTTGGGTCCCGTCGTCGTGTCGCTGCTCCCTCTCCCTTGCGTCCTTTCTTAGAGAGCGTCTTAAAGAAAGTTGGTCAGGCTGCTGCTGCCGTGTACTGCTTTGCTTGCATTTCCCGCAGGAGAGCACGTGGCCCTGCTCCTGCCCACGTCGTGTCCACTCTCGTCTCTGTGCGCACACAGGCGTGCCTCTATCGGCCACGCTGCGCCATCCTGCCTTGTCCCCTTTATCGTGCTCTCTGCTCTCTGCCTCGGATTGTCTTGCCTGCCGCTGCCGAGTCATGTACCCGTCATGGCAGCGTCCGCGTCGCCTTGGCCTACTTACTGCGCCCCTCCTTTTTCCTCTCCGCTGCCTTTCCCGTGTCTGGCGCAGCCGTAGTGCCCCGCCGTGGCCGGCCAGCTTTTCTGGCCGTGTCCGGCACGCCATCTCCCCTGCTCCTCGCGCGCGACTTCCTTCCGCTGCTTGCACCAACGCCCCTCCTCTTCTCCCTGTGTCATGCGCCGCTCCTTCCGTGCCTGCGCTTGAGCCGCCTCGCCAGCCGTAGTGCCTTGCCGTGGCCACTGCAGCGCCGCTGCACGCCACAGTCACCGTGCCACGTTTACCGTCGACCGTGCCATGTCTGCCGGTGCCGAGAAGCCTGCCAGCGTCGCAACTGCCGTCGCTACGCCTCCCTCCCACCTGTCGTTCTCCCTTCCTCTCGTGAGCGCGTCGAACTGCGTTGTCCCCACGCCATCCCATCGTCTCCTCCGGCAGGGAGCTGCCATTTGTGCCTGGCCAGGCCGCCACGACCACCTACTCCGCCTCCACCTCGGTTCCGCCGGCGCTGCGCAACCACCCTAGCCTTGGAGCACTATCGTCATGGCCCGCTGCCACAAATTGCGCCCTGCCGGCCATTAGCGCTCACGGCTGGACCGTCTCGAGACACATCCAGCGAGGCCGCAACCACCACCGGTGCGTTGTGGCCACCCTCACTACCCCTGCGCACCGCCTCCGTCATCACCGGTCATCACCCCATGCTGAATCGG